ACCCGGGGGGAGACGGTGCAGGGAGGACGGGGTCCCGGGAGAGGACCTGGGGGGAGAGGGGCCTAAGTCTGGAAAGGCGAGGAGCTGTCATGGTTCACCAGACACAAAAATAGCAGCGAGGAGAGAAAAGTTTAGAATACTCTCCAACGGTCATGAAGTCTAGCTCAGCAAGATGAAAGATTAAAAGCCATGGAGGGGCCGGGTGCGGCGGCTCATACCTATAACCCCAGCACTTTGGGAGGCCGAGGCAGGCAGATCACCTGAGGTCAGGAGTTTGAGACCAGCCTGGCCAATATGGGGAAGCCTGGTCTCTACTAAAAATACAAAAATTAGCCAGGCTTGGTGGTGCACTCCCGTAGTCCCACCTACTCGAGGCTGAGGCAGGAGAATCACGTGAACACAGGAGGCGGGGGTTGCAGTGAGCCGAGCTCTCATCGCTGCACTTCAGCCTGGGCGACAGAGCAAGACTCTGTCTTAAAAAAAAAAAATAGAAAAAAAAAAGCCAGGGAGGAGTCACTCAGCGTCCAGACCCGGAAGCCACCTGTCTCTCAGTCCACAGCACAAACCCATCCATGTGGCGTCTCTGCGAATCCCCCTGGAGCATGTCAGCAATGGAAGGAGGCTTCCCTCTCATGGGCCCCACCTTCTGCCTCTGCATGGTGTGGAGGAGGTCTCCGAAGGGCGACTCCTCAGGACTGTCAAAGGCCAGCAGGGCCAGGGTGCGCTCCATCTCCGTGAGGCACTCCCGGCTCTCCTCGCCCTGCTCCGCGAGCTGGGTCTGCGCAAACTCCAGCGCTGCCTCCGTCTCCCGCTGGCGGATCAGCTCGATCAAATGCTGTTGCTGAAGGCAGAGACAGACCAGACTGACCCACCACGCGCGGCCCAGGAACTCGGCGGGCTGCACCAGGTTCCCACCAAAAGTACAGCACAGAGGGAAGACTTTTCTTGCATCTCGAGTTATCAACTTTGCATTTTCACAACAAAAAACAGCTTCTGAACCATATAAAACAGCAAATTCAAACCCCTCCCCCCACATACATTAAAGTAACATCATGGCCGGGCGCAGTGGCTCACGACTGTAATCCCAGCACTTTGGGAGGCCAAGGCGGCCGGATCATGAGGTGAGGAGATCAAGACCATCCTGGCTAACACGGTGAAATCCCGTCTCTACTAAAAATACAAAAAATTAGCCAGGTGTGGTGGCACGCACCTGTAGTCCTAGCTACTCGGGAGGCTGAAGCAGGAGAATCGCTTGAACCCAGGAGGCGCAGGCTGCAGTGAGCTGAGATCATGCCACTGCATTCCAGCCTGGGCGACAGAGCCAGACTCCATCTCAAAATAAATAAATAAAAATAATAATATGATTAAAGCAAATTAGCCTAGTTATTTCTCAATCACTGCAAATAACTTTAACTTCTCAAGTATCTGCAAACCAGACTCCTCTCTCCTAAAACGTACCTGCAAATGGAAGTAAAGATACCGGTTTGTGTCCAGGAGCTCCGGGTGGAGGCTGTTGATCAAGGCAATGGCCTCCTGAATCTGACCTTTCAGGATCATCTCCCGGATCTTGATTCGTTCATCAAGTGTTTCCAGATCCACGCTAGGTTCGATCCCAGATTCCATTCGAAACTTCTCCGCTGCTTCTTTAAAGCCCTCTGAAAATAAAAACCATCTTCACTGCTAAGAAAGTTAGCAAGGAATTAAGGCAAAGACTTTGTATCTCCAGAAACTCCAACTGCCTCAATTAATCACCCCTGATGTGAACCTCACTCTCTCAGGGACTCGGTATTAATATCTCTGTAATTTATAAGTTTTGCTCTCAAAATACATACAGAAAACAAGAAGAGTATACCTCATTCCTTGTTATCCCATCCAAAAACTCTAAGCAGTTAGCCAAAGAAGTCAGAATGGCTGCTGGCCCAGTGCGTTGGTGGGGCTCCTTTGAGAAGACAGATAATAGGTCCAGATGCCAGCAGCTGCAGATCTGGTGCCAGGTTAGGCAAGACATACAGGCTCCACCTCCACAGCACAGCGGCTGTCCACGGCCAGCTCTACCTGAGTGGCCTGGTGACTCACACCTCTTAGAGTGTCTACAGTTTTTCAAAGCCAGCATGTGTGCCCCTTTCCCTGCCCCCAACACAATTATAGGCCTAAATTTCCTCATCACCTTCCAAAAATATTTTTTTTGAGATGGGGTCCCACTTAGTCACCCAGGCGGGAGTGCAGTGGCACAATCTTGGCTCACTGCAACCTCCGATCCTCCCACCTCAGCCTCCCAAGTAGCTGGGACTACATCACAAGCCACCACAGCCAGCTAATTAAAAATTTTTTTTTCTAGAGACAAGGTCTCACTATGTTGCCCAGTCTGGTCTTGAATTCCTGGGCTCAAGCAATCCTCCCACCTCTGCCTCTCAAAGTGCTAGGATTACAGGCATGAGCCACCACACTGGCCCAAAAAATTTTAACAGAGATTAACCTCGGAGTGGGAACTGGGGACTAAAAGGAGGAAGATTTACTTTTCATGTTATGCCTTTTATTTATTTGTTTATTTTTTGAGATGGAGCCTCACTCTGTCACCAGGCTGGAGTGCAGTGGCACAATCTCAGCTCACTGCAACCTCTGCCTCCTGGGTTCAAGCCATTCTCCTGCCTTAGCCTCCCAAGTAGCTGGGGCTACAGGCACATGCCACCATGCCCGGCTAATTTTTGTATTTTTAGTAGAGACGGGGTTTTACCCCATTGGCCAGGATGGTCTCGATCTCTTGACTTTGTAATCTGCCTGCCTTGGCCTCCCAAAGCGCTGGGATTACAGGCGTGAGCCACTACACCCGGCCATGCTATGCCTTTTAAAAACATCTGGATTTTCTTGCCACAAACAGCACTGCCCTCCCTCCAGCTGACATCGAGAAGAGCCTGAGTGTTATTTCCCTCTGCACACTTCTGCTCTTCCCCATTCTCATCCTGAGTCGGGCACACCCTCTAGAAACAGGCCAGTATACTTTACCAGACTGGCCAGAAGAGATCAACTGTTTGGGCTTTAAGGATACTTACTTCACAACAGTCTCAACCATCTTGATTATCTAACAGTAAAACTGTCAAAGGCTAAGAAATGGGCTTGTGTTAGGTCTCAGAGACCTGGAATAATCTGATCTCCAGAAAAGGCTATCTTTTACATGATAATTTACAAACTTACCAAGTTATCACTGCGTTTCTATAATGTCTGAACACAAATAACTACAACCTCAGGGCTACAGCACTCCTTACGTGTCCACAAAGGGAGAGCCACATTGATGCGGCAGCACCCTCCCTGTAAGCCATTACCTGTGACCAGGTAGTTCATGATGAGGCGGTTCATGTCTGCTCTCTGGACATGTAAGTTATTGAGCTTTTCCATCCACTCATCTTTCGTGATTTCATCGGGTTTTTCTGCATAACTCATTCTGATTTATTTCTACAAGAAAAAAATCATAGCTGAGGGAGGGGTTTAGATTCTCCTCTAAGTGCAAAGGGCAGCGCTGGAGAGCCATGAGCTAGAGAATCCCACACTGAAAGATACTGAAAGAGAAGGCTGCCACGGGACACCCACCAGACTGAGAACGCCAGTTCTCAGCAAGGACACAAGTTCACTTGAACTCTTCTACTCTGGTGTCAGGAGAATGGACTGTGCTATGCAAATAATCTGGCATCCACTGTAAAGCTGAACATGTGTGCTCCTTACAACCCAACAATTCTACTTTTAATACATTCATATTCTAGAAAAACTCACCAGAACGCAGCAAACACAGACAACCCTGTTCCCAGCAGCACTGTTCAAATCTTCAGAAGTGTGGAAGCCACCCACCTGCACAGAACCACTCTGCATGTTAAAACCCTTGGGCAGATGTGTTTTGAATTTGGAATTCTTCAATGTACAGTGATATTTGGTGCAATTCCCCATGGAACAGCCTCCCCCGGGTTTGGGGGAGCTCCCTATCATCAGAGGCTACTTCTTTGGGCCAAACAAAACCGTAAATTTTGGTTTCAGAGATGTTTAGACTTTAGCTTTGCTGAGAAAGCTTTGTGGTCATGTACTCACACAAGAGAATTTCATAAAGCAGTAAGATAACGTCACACAAAGTCACAAAGATGACTGTCATACAACAATGCTGGATGAAAAAGTCAAGTTGCAGGAGAGGCCAAATGTGGCGTGAGTTTTATAAGGAACAACAAAACAAAATACATGATGCGTGCTTTACCAACAAATCTGTGGCTGAACTACTTTGTTTCTTAAAATAGGGGCATGAAAGCTGACGCTCAGAAGGGGTTACCTGTGGGAGGGGCAGATGCCTGAAGCCCAAGAGGCAGCTGTTCCAGCTTTGGGAGAATGGCTGGGTACCTGAGATGGGCAGTGGGCACACCACTGTCCACTCTGTCTTCATCTTTTGTCACTGATGTATGTGTTACGGATGCTACTTTATACAAAGGACTGCTAGAGTGCTTCAATAAATCAAAAAACTAAAAGATGATTTTGGTCTCCTGGCTGAAAACAGGATGAATGCAGGGTGGTGAGAACGGACCAGCAAGTCCATTAAGGAGACACTCAAGTGAGAGAAGACATCGGCAGAAGAGACGGAGGCAGGTGAGATCAGGACACTTTGGTCATGGAGTCAATGGCTGCTGCTGGACAGAAGATGACGAGATAAAAGAAAGGGAAGAGCTGAAGACAGTCACAGGTTTCAGGCATGAGAGGCCTTGGAAGACGGGGCCACAAATAAGGAGTAAGGACTGGGAGAAGAACAGGTTTGAGAAGCAGGGCAAGTTTGAGGTGACTATTAGCCATGCAGCTGGAGAAATCAAGCAGGTGTCTGGATTCCAGATCCTGAGCTCAGTGCTGGAAACGTTAATTAGGAAAATAGGGCGGGGGACGGGGAAATTTAAAGCCAAGAATTCAGCAAAGACCACCTAGGGAGAGCGTAGCTAGGGAATGAGAACCGTCATTACTTAGAGGATGCCAGCCTTGAAGGTCAAGCAGAGAAAGTGGCACCAGCCGAGGAAAAGTTGCTGTGGAGCAGCAAGTAAGGAGGAGTGACCAAGAGCTCCGTCACGCGCCAACACCCACCTCCCGCACTTAGTCAACTGCAAAGCTCACCGAGACCAAATTGTTATCCATGACAATCAAAGGTAACTTAAGGACCTTTTTTTTTTTAAGTCTGTTGCCCAGGCTGGAAGGTAGGGGCGTGATCTTGGCTCACTGTAGTCTCGACCTCCCAGGCTCACGATCCTCCAACCTCAGCCTCCTGAGGAGCTGGGCCTACAGGTGCGCACCACCACGCCTGGCTAATTTTTTTGTTTTTGGCAGAGACCGGGGTCTCGATGTTGCCCAGGCTGGTCTCGAACTCGCGGGCTCGGGCGACCCGCCCACTTCGACCTCCGCCACCGCGCTCGGCCCCGGCCTCGGCCCCGCGTTACGAGCTCCCTAGGGAAGGCACCTCTCCCCTTGGCCCGTTCGGGGATCGGGACTCACAGCGCTTCCACTCCCGGGCAGTTTCGTGCGCCCACGAAAAGCAGCAACTTTGGAGAACCGGCCCGTCCTGTTTGCGGCAAGAGCTCGGTGGTCTCAAACTCCGCATAAAAAGATTCAGCAGGCGGAGACACCCGGGTGCCGAAGACTCCCGCTTTCCACGCCACGCTGTACGTGCTCGCCCGCTCGGCTTCTGCTTCCAACCGGCAGATGTGGTTAAAAGACCCCGTTCCAGACCTGGCTCCAGAGACAGCGCCCGCCCGCAGGCTGCCCGGGACCGCCCCGGAACGCCAGCGCCTGGGGCCGCGCGCCTGCAGGCTGATCCCTGCCTGCCCCTGGGCGCCGGCGCGGGGCGGCCGTCCGGGCGGGGACTCGTGGCGCGCCCCAACCCGCACCAGCCCGCGCCGGCGCCGCCAAGGCCCCCAGAGCGGAGGCGGCGCGCACCCCGGCCGCGTCCCGCCTGCCCCGGCCCCGGGAGACGCTCGGCCCGGCCGCCCGGGCCCGCCGCCGCCATCTTACCGTGCGGATCCTGTCTCCCGCGCTGCGCGGTCTGGGCGGCGGCGGCTCCGCAACCGCTCCTGGGCCGGGGAGGGGCGGCGGCAGCTGGGGCGCCCGAGTAGAAGGAGGCGGAGGCGGGGGCCGCGGCGGAGGCGGGGGCGGGGGCGGGGGCGGGGAGCGGAGGGCAGGCGCACCGGCGGCCGCCCCTCGGCACCTCTCGCGACAGCACGAGAGCGCGAGAGTGCGAGCCGATGACCAATGGCGCGCCCCCGCGAAGGGGCGGGACCGACAGCCTCCCGGAAGCGCGGATGTCAACTTCCGTCCTTGCGCACAAGTCTCCTCGCGGCGACCTCGCGCTACGGGTTGGCGCGAGAGTCAAAAGGCGTCGGCCGCCTCTGGGCAAGATGGCTGTTGCGGAGGCGTTGGAGTGTGGAAACCTGGAGCGGGGATGGCGACGTCTGCACTGAGTCGGAGGCGAAGGTCTCAGCTCTTTTCCTGTCGTTTGCGTGAGGCCGGACGGGGTGGGGCGGAGGAAGGGCGCCGGGTGTCCGCGGTCGCCCCAGAGACGGGGACGGAGTCCCCTCCCGACCGGCGGCCTGCCAGGGCTGGTGTCCCCGAGGCCCAGGGAGCGGCCGCGGACCCGAGGCCCGGCCGGGCGGGAGCCGCGCTCTCTGCTCGCGGGAGCGATTCCTCGGCTTTCCTCGAATGTTACTGAGCGCGTCCCCACTCGAGGCCGGGTGCGGAATCCGGAGGGCCCTGCCCTCCCTGGGGTCGCGCCGTGCGGGCCGGACGCGGCCGGGGCGCGCGGGACAAAGGCGACCCCTCCGGCTTGCGGGGCGGAGTCCCAGCGGCGGCGCGGGCAGGGCCGGGGGACGCGGGGACCGCAGCGCGCCGGGCAGGGGCGCGTCGAGGCCGCACGCGGGTGTGTGAGCGTGTTTTTGCTTGTTGCCGTCCGCTCGGGAGGAACGCACGCTCCGGCATTGCGGGGTCCGCTGCTTCCGCGGCTGGGAAGTAACTTGGTGTATTTGATGGGGCGCTCGGGGGGCGGCCGCCGGTTTCGTCGGCGGCGTCCGCGAAGCCCTCCGAAGCGCGGGCGGGGTGAGGGGTTCGCGCGGTTGCCGAGGGGTGAGCGAGTGCCGCGTAAGCCCCGCGGCCGGGCTGCTCGGCCTCAGTCGGTCCAGTTCGGCAAATAGGCTGGAAAAAGACGACCGGTGTTGGACATTCTCCGTTAATCGAGAGAGCTAAATCGACAGATCTGAGGTCTTGCCAGAATTATGCGCAGTAACGCAGAGGCAGTCCATGTCGGTAATTGCGTCATTTGCAACTACGTAGCCCTACGGAAACAGTTCTCGATCTTTATTTTATTTATTTCGAGACAGAGTCTCACTTTGTCGCCCAGGCCGGAGTGCAGCGGCGCGATCTCGGCTCACTGCAACTTCGCCTCCGGAGTTCAAGTGATTCTCCTGCCTCGCCTCCCGGGTGGCGGGGACTACAGGCGCACGCCACCACGCCCGGCCTTTTTTATTTTTATTTTTAGTAGAGGCGGGGTATCACCTTGTTGGCCAGGCTGGTCTCAAACTCCTGACCTCAAATGATTACCCACCTTGACCTCCCACAGTGCCGGGATTACAGGCGTGAGCCACCGCTTCCGGTGTATTTTTATTTACGTTTTTTAGAGACGGGGCTATTGGCTTCTTGCCCAGGCTGGTCTCGAATTCCTGGGCTTAAGCGATCCTCCCGCCTTGGCCTCTGGAAATGCTGGATTTACAGGCATGAGCCACCATGCACAGCTGGAACGTCAGCGAAAAAGTGTGCAACGGGGAGGCGGGGGATGCACGAGCAAAAAGCTGAGTGCTAGCGCCTTCAGGAGGCGTTCCGAAACGTTCCAGTCCAAAGAGGCTTTCTCAGTGCCTGCCTGTGGGTCACAGGTTAATGCCCCTCCTCCCAGCATTCGACAGTCACCTAGTCCTACTTGTGTCCCCTCCTTCATCCTCTCTAGAAACTGGCTCCTTTGTGCCATTTCCCAGCCTCTACTGTAACGTGGAAGCCATCGTCTTTGATTTTCGGATTGCCAGGACGTCTTCCTAACTCGTGCGAGTGCAGGAAGTCCTGTTTCCATCGCTTTCACAGCAGACAGGGTGATCTCCAAAAGCCATCACTCACTGACTCTGTCCTCCTCTGAGCATCCCTTGGGAAACCCCCCCCCCCCCATTGCCCACATAAAGTTAGCACAGCTCTAAGTCTGCACTCCTGATCTTACCTTTTTTTTTTAAGACCGAGTTTTGCTCCCACCATCCCAGCCTATGGGAGGTTCTCTTGTGTCACCAAGCTCTGTTATTGCTGTACTCTCACAATCTGGGTCCTGCGTGGAAAACACTTCCCTATGCTAACTCCTGCTCACCTGCTCAATAGAGATGCGGCTTTCTTGGGGAAGTCTTCCCTACACAAAGCCGGATTGAGTGCCTTTCCTTTATGCTTGCACAGAATCCTAAACTAGCCCTTTTTAGCTCTCAGCACATGGTCTGTGTCGTTGCTGCCTGGTAGGATGTCATGGTTCACCATAAAAGGGTGAGCTTCATGCGAGCTGATGATGGTTGAAGTCTAGTTTGTAATAGGAGTTCCATAAATATTAGTTGAGTAGATGAAGGAGTAAATGAGTGAATGATTACGAGGACCTTAATTGGAAGCAGTACCTTCAGTCAGAAGGGAAATGAGCAGTCCTTGGTGACAGACAAGTTTGTGGGAGCGAAGAGGGCAGCCCAGAGTGATGATGGTGAGTAGCCCAGCTGGTGAGGTCCTGGCGCCAACTGAGAATGATCATGAGGAAGGAGGTGCAGCAGCCAGGAGGGAAAGGTGATGAGCTCTGCGTGGGCCTCGTTGAATTGTTGAACTGGAGGTACCTGTGGGATAGATCTAAGCTCGGAAAAGAGCAGGGCTGGAGTTGAGAGATGGGTGTAATATATTCAGAGGAGGTCCATGGAGGCAAGGAGTGGATCAAGTCCAGAATGCAGAACTGCAACCTGTATTCACTGAGGAAGAAGTTGCCTGTGAAGGGTAACAAGAAGTGGCCAGGGGCATCTGACAAGAACCAGGGGCTTAAAAGGTGCTCCCTGCAGCCACAGGGTGCAGAGTTTCAAGAAGCTGTGTTAGCAGTGTCCAGGCTGCAGGGAAGTCCAGGGTGAAGCTGCCCAAACTGCCCATTTGATAGCTTTTGGTGACAGAGCAAGAAGCTGATGATGTGGTGGGAATGGGAGACATCCGATTGTGGTGAGTAGGGGTGAGGTGTCTAGGCGTTCAGCGGTTAGGGCCATGTGGCACACGTACTGAGAAGTGAGCAGGGGGCTAAATGCCACCAGACGCTGCAGTGAAGTGAGCAGTGAGCTGATGCCACCAAACGCTGCAACCACAGGTGAGGAGACTGAGGAGCAGGGAGGGGGTCAAGGATAATTTCTCAGCTTCTGGCCTGTGCATTTATAGGGTGGGACCATCCTCTGGATAGGGAATGCCAGAGAAGAGCCTGGATGTAGTAGGGAGGTCAGAAGTCATAAGCTCATTTTTGCATGTTAGATAGGTTTTGAAGTGCATTTGAGGCATCCACGTGGAGATGCCAGGGGAGCAGGTGAATGATGGTGCAGGCAGAGATAAAGGTAACTACAGCCAGGCATGCATGAAGTCTCCGTGGAGAGTGTGTGGGTGGAGGTAGAGGAGGACAGCCTGAGCCAGAGCCCTGAAGACACCAGCATGTGGGGTCACTAAGGGTGCAGGAAAACAGGAAAGAGGTGGTGGATCCTGGGACAGGAGAAGGTGCAGGGCCACACTGGTTGACATCTGGGACCGTGACCAAGATTTCAGCCTGGATTCATCAGCTGCCTGAGCTTTCCTATGACAGAGGTGGGCCTGTGGACAAGACAAACCACAGGCTTGGTACTTACAGTCAGCTGAGGGGCAGCCAGGTGTTCAGAGCTTCTAGTTCTTTGCAAGCTGAGGTGGTGGCTTTGAACTTGAGTTCTTTCATTTTGAGAGAGATGAACCGAAAGAGGGGTGCTAAAGGTATATTAGTCTTTGTTTTTTTGAAGATGGAGTCTCACTCTGTTGCCCAGGCTGGAGTGCCATGGCGCGATCTCAGCTCACTGCAGCCTCCGACTCCTGGGTTCAAGCGATTCTTCTGTCTCAGCCTCCCGAGTAGCTGGGGTTACAGGCATGCACCACCCCACCCGCCTAATTTTGTATATTTAGTGGAAATGAGATTTCTTTTCTTTTTTTTTTTTTTTTTTTTAAGATGGGGTTTCACCATGTTGGTCAGGCCGGTCTTGAACTCCTGACCTCAGGTGATCCGCCCGCCTTGGCCTCCAAAGTGCTTGGATTAAAGGCGTGAGCCACCGCACCTGGCCAAGACGAGATTTCTTTATGTTGGTAAGGCTGGTCCCAAACTCCCAACCTCAGGTGATCCACCGGCCTCAGCCTCCCAGAATGTCAGGATTACAGGGATGAGCCACCACGCCCAGCAGGTATGTTAGTCTTAAAGGAACATTAATGAGTTTTTTTAAAACGGGAAGGCAATTCAGCCAGGTTGGAGTGCAGTGGCGTGATCACGGCCCACTGCGACCTACACCTCCCAACTAATCCTCCTGTCTTAGCCTCGTGAGTAGCTGGGACTACAGGTGGAAGCCACCACACCCAGCTAATTTTGATAATTTTATTTTTAGAGAAGAGGTCTCACTATGTTGCCCAGGCTATTCTCAAACTTATGGGCGCAAGCGATCCTCCTGCCTGGGCCTCCCAAAGTGCTGGGATTACAAGTGTGAGCCACCGTGTGCATTGTAGAATGTTTTAAAAAACCAGGTTATCAGTCACGTTTCACAAAACCACATTATTTCCATGGATGTTTTGTTTTACTCTCAAAACCCAAAAGCATAAAATCAAACCCCTGCATACTGGAGACTTCAGGCTTTCAAAGATACTGAGCAAATCAAACCACTGTACTTTTCAGGGTAATTGGTAAGCCCGTCAGCTGGTGCTCATAATGATGAGCACGAGTCGCTAGGAACACCCAGACCTCAACTTTCATTTCACACAGTATTTTAAACAACCTTCTTAGAGGTGTTGGAAAGGGGTAAGGAAGAATTTTACTATTTAGTCTGGTGCACATAATCTTTTTTTTTTTTTTTTTGAGACAGAGTTTCGCTCTTGTTGCCCAGGCTGGAATGCAATGGTGCAATCTTGGCTC